TACGAGTACGATTTAATTAATAATATGATGTTGACGTTGTAGATTTTGACACAATGTTGCTGAACAATAATGGTAGCGAGAATTGCTGAGAGCAGGGTCTGATAATTGAGTCATGACCATTAAACCATCCATCTTCAAAATGTATGACCCAATACTAGCAAACTAGTAGAAGTAGGGGTGAAGCCTCAAATGGGGAGAAATGATCATCGGCCAAGGAAGTTAATATAAAGGTCCTTAAATTTCATCAAGCTTAGTCTAGTCTCATTGCACCAGTGAATTTCCAAGAAATCACCAAGAAGTTAATAAGTGGAGAGGTTCATAATAACAAATTAAGGAACCTTGGCCTTTATATTGTAAAGGTTCCTTAATTTCATCAAATTTTAGTCTAGTCTCATTGTACCAGAGAAATTTCCAATCTAAAGGAAAGTTCCAGTTCTAAAAGCTTCTGTTCAATTGTTCTAAAGCCAATTTAGTAATGTGAAGAGCTATTTGTCATTTCTGATGTACACCAATTAAGAATTCGATTATTCACTAAGTTTGAAAACATGAATTTAAAGGTCATGTAACATACTAATATTTGCTTACTGTTCTGTTAAATAATATCGGCCTTTTAATTGGAACCTACGTTGGAATACGTTTTACCTGACGTTTCTGCTGCATAGACAGTTTATATTTGCAAATATAAACTGTCTATGCAGCAGAAACGTCAGGTAAAACGTATTCCAACGTAGGTTCCATTAAAAGGCCGATATTATTTAACACAAATATTTTTGTTTGTATAATTCATACTTAGATAGTAAGATACAGTACCCACTACCCATACACGTTTTTGAAAGTCGTTATAACTTTTTAAATCGATGCAACCAAAAAATTCCTTCGTGTTAAAATGTTCGGAAAACAAAGACGGTTATGTCTTGGTTGGACGCTAATATTTTTAAATTGGTAAATACACTACAACGAAAGATTAACAAAAAACAAAAAATTATGTTTCGTCAAGTGCGGGTGCCGTAAAATTAATAACTTATAGAATGATCACGATCAACTAAAACAGGTGGTCCTATTATTACGAGCATATAATATTATGAAGAAATGTCACTCATCCATATCTCTAAGATTACACTCTCACTGCCGTCAATACACTCTCACTGCCGTTTTAAATTTGTTAGCTCTCGTTATCGCACTGCTTATCTCTTGATAATTGCACCGCTACTGCGACTGCTAGCTTGTAGTGCTGATCTTTACGATGGCAGATTTGGACTTGGAAAGTATCAATTACATGTGGAATGAGATGTTCACCTGGAGCAAAGAGACTCTGAAGAAATTTGGCAAGCCGTACGGAAAGTTAAAGGACATTGCGGACGCTAAGAACTTCATACAGACTGAATAAGCCGGAGATTGTCGATGTGTGTGGCTCGATCTTTTGAGTATCGTACTATTTATGGAGACCGTTGAAGCGTTTATAAGAATGTTGTTGCCCAGACTTCGGGTCAGTTAATGAGAAGCAAGAGAGGTTATCGTGTTCAGGCCGAGCAATCAGCTTGCAAGACTGAGAAACTTGGAAGCGATGAAGAAACTGTGTCCAAGTTCAGTGCTGATTCAGTGAAAGCGGAGCGTTCCAATCTTACAGCTCTATCGTTCAACGTTTTCCCAGCACAGTCTCCAGTAATCAGCCAGCGCGAAGCATTGCTGACGTTGTAGTCAAGACTATTGGTTGCAGAGGAGGGACCGCAGCAGGAACTTCTTATCTTCGAGTCTTCCCTGCGGGAAAAAAGGAAGAGAAGCTGAATCTAAGTCAGTGTGAAAGTTTCTGGAAACTTTGCATAAAGCCAAAAGTAGAGGCTCAGAGAATAGGAAAAAAGAAAACGGTTGACTCAACGCGACCAGTTAAAGTTATTACCTCAAACTCCGCTCATCGTTGATCAGATTCTGAGGAATGCAGGAACCTGCGGCAGAGTGAGAAGTTTAAGACAGTTTTCTTGAGCCCTGATCGGTCTGTCGAACAGAGGAAGCTCCGGAAAGATCTGGTACAGGACATGAAGAAGCGGGCACTTGCAGAACCGACAAAAAGTTTTACATAAAGAACGGGGCAAATTTATTGTGCCGATGAGAGCAACGGATGACAACCTTTTTTTGAGTGTGTGTTTCGTGTGCTGTTTTGATATGTTTTGGACCATGTTTGTGAGGGACATATTGGTAGCTGTAGTTATTTTCTAAACAAGACTGAATAGTCTTCAGGCTTTAGCTGAGCTTTAATTTCCGACGCAGTTTTGTTTAGCCACTAGTCCATGATGGGGAATATAAACAATATATTTAACTCTTAATGGTCATAGCTACTTTTAATTTCAGGAATCATACAGATTTTCAAGTACGCTGGTACGATTTTTATCTTATTAAATTGCTGTTCAATATCTATTTTAGTAAAACATTAACTGGAGTAGTAAAACCCAGTTCCCAATCAATCACAGTAAACAACTGCCCAATCGAAATTGCTGTAAGGATCTTTATTTAATAATACCGACATGTAAGTATTAACTGATGTCAATGTTCATGTTAATAAAGCTGTCATAGATAAAGTGTATTAATGTAATATAACAGTCTGTTTTATGTCGACAAATGCAAAATGGCGCATGCCTTCAAAGGCAATCGTCTACTACGGGACGTTTCTTGAAGAATCTAAGTAGTAGCCAAGGGTTCTTTGATCTGAGTCTCGTGGAGATGAAGGACTAATATAAGGGAATAATAATGGACTAATTTGAAGATGATGATCAGGAGATGAATGACCTGGGGTTCTTGGGCTCAATATCTTATATCTTGACTTTTATCAAGTGGTTAAATCTTCATTATAGACCTACAAGCTGGTGAACACGAGTTATCAGTATATCTATAATACCAGTGCTTAACACTTCATCTTATTTTATGACGTGATAAGTTGGAGTGTTAGCAACTTTGTAAAATCTTTGATTCTAATTTAATCGCCCGATTGCGATTCTACAAATATATCATGACCTTAATGATAGGTGGTTTAACCGATTAGGTTAGGAATTCATATTTTGAATTGTGCTGTTCCACCAAATTTATATCATATTATTATTATAGACTTAAATTACTGTCACCATTAACCACTTGTTTCCAAATACTCCTTATTGATAAAACCCAATACCAGGTAGTGATATGAAAAGTAAAATGGAACTGTGTCAGTAAATGACATTACAGATTGAATATGTGAGTGTGACGAGTGGCCCTGTAATATGTTTTGTAGTTGGTCACCATGGTGCCGGTAAAGTCACCATGGTGACGGTAAAGTCCTGTTATTACAGTGATCGGTCATTCAACTTTAACAAGCAATGCATTTTAGTTTGTGCGGGGTTGTGAGACATTGTTACAGCCTGTTATTGTGGTACATTAGTTGCTTATTAGCGATCAAACATGTATTGTAAACGAAACCATGACGACGTATGAGTTATGTAATATACGTAAGTAATATTCGATGTTTCTAGGGTAAATCCTCTAAAGATTAATAAACGAATAAAATTCTTATAGAATTTACACTTAAACTTAACAGTTAAATTAAGCCTACATAACTTATCAAGAATTTCGTGATGATATATCCAAATCTCTACTCCCGTTATAGTAGTAAATCTTTCAAAGTACGAAATATCTCTTTAAAAGAGCATCCTAGGCACCTTATAGATATCAAAACGCATAAAAAAGAAAACAAAAAACATCAACCATCTTCTAACTTCTTCCACTCCTCCCTATCTATTAAAGCTAAAAATCTAAGGTCTTCGAAATCAGTCAAATTCTTAAGTTTAATATCAAGATTTCTACTAGTCAAGTCTTTTCTAATAACATCTAATAAGTTTAAACATGGTCTACCCCGTCTCCCTTCCATAAAAAATATCAGAATTTATAGCAAATAACATAGAGGTGTATGCTGGTGAGTCTTCCTGTCCTCTTAAGATATGTCCTAACATTCTCCATCGAAACTTAGAGACTCTCACAGACAAGGGAGTGACATAACAACGAGCATAGAGTGCCTCATTAGAAATAACCCCAGTAGGCCATCTGATGTTGAGGATTCTTCGGAGGTGTTTGCGATGAGCAATATCAAGTTCATTCAACGAAGCTAGTGGTGCAGCCCAGGAGTTGCAGTTGTAGAGTAGAATAGAGACTACTCCGTTATAAAGATCTTAAAATGTCTTACCAAATACCATAATTTCTAAAACATAGAAAGTACACATGATATTATACTCTCAAAACGTGGACGGTGAATTCCCAGGAATCTCGCTGTCGTAACCATGACGACCACCGATCACATAACTTCATTCCACCCACATGACACAAACCACCAATCAGTGAACATTACACAACATCCTCTTGCAGCAGCCTGAGTCACATGGTCGTTGTATCATGCATATGTGTTTCATTAATGCACTCCGAGGTGTAGAATACAACACATAACGATGCAGAGAGAGAGAGAGGGAGGTGCACCTTGTACATGAGATATCATCTCCCTCATCTCTTGTCTTCGTGATCTGAACACAACTCGCAAAAGTCGGCTCGAAGTAACGTGGCCAAGCTGGCCACTTATCAGAGATCACGTTTTTGTCTGGTACGATCAAAATACAAGATTCATTGATTGTTTTATCACCAACTGAAGGAATTAATGAAGGCTATGAGCTATACAATTCAAAGAAGCTATTGCTAACCATCGCATACAAAATGCTAATCCAAGAAATAATCCACGTCTTATTTTCTTCAAAACCCATTATTGATTTGTTAATTCTGGAGATTTGTCACGTGTCATTGCACCTGCCCCCCCCCCCCCCCTTCCCCCATATAAGGACCAACTTATCAGCGATTATCGCTATCGACCAGATTACTCTAATCTTTATCATTAGAGCCATCTCTTTTTATTAACACGTGATAACTTATAGTAATTAACTCGACAAATGATCTGGAATCCTCGAGTTTTGTCGTTCACCAGGTTGCTCTTTCAGGCTCTCGATATACTCTGCAGTATTTTACAAACGAATTCGTTGCAAACTGTCCAGGCGTGGATAGAACAGGCAACTGATGAAGGTACGGAGTTTAATATTGATTTATAGTTTCTACTGTCTATACTTCTATAAGCTTGTATTTTCTTGTGATATTTTTTGGTATTTCTTTGGCGGTAATCGTTTGGTTTGCTCGTAAAAGTGAAATTATAAAATAAATGTAATAATTTTTGGAATCATGTTTTCTCTAGCCAGCTGCATCAGACCAAATTAACAGACCATATCGCGAATCATGCAGCAGGCATAGCAGTCGAGAATCATATCTTCGATTAATGAATTTATGACAGTACAGCTCAACAGCTGTTGTAGTAGTACCAACTAGTAGTAGTACCAACTAGTAGAAGTACCAACTAGTATGCTAAAAAGTGTCAACTATTCAAAATTTGATCGTCGTGATGATTTCCCGGCGAGGAAACTATTGCAACTATTCTGAGTATGTCGAATTATTGTGCTCTCGGAGGACAGTCTAAGAAACAAGATAATTGACTATTAAGTTTCTTGGTAATTAGAATAGAAGATCATTAAAGGGCATCGTAGTTGAACCTTCGAACCTGTGCGTGATAAAAGGCGCAGGTTAGGTACTTATAATATAGAGATATTATAACTGTTAAAAACTGTCAAAAACAGGCTTGTGAAAGTTTTCAGAAATTTCACACTTTCCTAATAATAGGGCCACCCTAAAAACCTAATAGTGATATTATGATTCCTCATATTTGGAGACATTTTGGAGACATTGTCTCCATGGGAATTTCATGGGAATTGGAGGGGAATTAGAGGGGAATTACGTATTATTGATATTTAAGCACCTAAATTAGCTGTATATGGCTTGAACTGAGTTCTGGTCTGTCCCTCAAACAAACTAAGACCTTTCACATGCGAAAAGAAGACAAAAAACGGGGGGTGGCGAACCATATTTGCCAAAAAAAAATGTCAAAATTTTGTTTTCCATATTTCGCCCTAAAACGTCTCCAATGAGTTTGGTTGGCACCCTGGTTGATCTGGAAGTACGTTACCAGTTATTTGGGGCCTTCAGGGGCGAAAATGGGCCGAAAAATGGGCCGAAAAGGGGCATTTTCGGGTGTTTTCAAATTTGAGATTTCAAAGCCAGATTTTCGGCTTTAGTTGGCTGGGACATGCCCAAATTGGTGTGGGTGAGTTGCATAGAGGTAGTACAAGTGTGATCCGTTGCAGAAATCCGGGTTCCCAAGATTTAAAATGACTTGAAAAAATTTTGTAAAAAATTGGAGACATTTTGGAATCCATGGGAATTTTTTGGAGACATCCATATTTCGCCCTAAAACGTCTCCAATGGTTGGCACCCTGGTTGATCTGGAAGTACGTTACCAGTTATTTGGGGCCTTCAGGGGGGAAAATGGGCCGAAAAATGGGCCGAAAAGGGGAATTTTCGGGTGTTTTCAAATTTGAGATTTCAAAGCCAGATTTTCGGCTTTAGTTGGCTGGGACATGCCCAAATTGGTGTGGGTGAGTTGCATAGAGGTAGTACAAGTGTGATCCGTTGCAGAAATCCGGGTTCCCAAGATTCAAAATGACTTGAAAAGATTTGTAAAAAATTGGAGACATTTTGGAATCCATGGGAATTTTTTGGAGACATCCATATTTCGCCCTAAAACGTCTCCAATGGTTGGCACCCTGGTTGATCTGGAAGTACGTTACCAGTTATTTGGGGCCTTCAGGGGGAAAATGGGCCGAAAAATGGGCCGAAAAGGGGCATTTTCGGGTGTTTTCAAATTTGAGATTTCAAAGCCAGATTTTCGGCTTTAGTTGGCTGGGACATGCCCAAATTGGTGTGGGTGAGTTGCATAGAGGTAGTACAAGTGTGATCCGTTGCAGAAATCCGGGTTCCCAAGATTCTAAATGACTTGAAAAGATTTTGTAAAAATTGGAGACATTTTGGAATCCATGGGAATTTTTTGGAGACATCCATATTTCGCCCTAAAACGTCTCCAATGAGTTTGGTTGGCACCCTGGTTGATCTGGAAGTACGTTACCAGTTATTTGGGGCCTTCAGGGGCGAAAATGGGCCGAAAAATGGGCCGAAAAGGGGCATTTTCGGGTGTTTTCAAATTTGAGATTTCAAAGCCAGATTTTAGGCTTTAGTTGGCTGGGACATGCCCCAAATTGGTGTGGGTGAGTTGCATAGAGGTAGTACAAGTGTGATCCGTTGCAGAAATCCGGGTTCCCAAGATTCAAAATGACTTGAAAAGATTTTGTAAAAAATTGGAGACATTTTGGAATCCATGGGAATTTTTTGGAGACATCCATATTTCGCCCTAAAACGTCTCCAATGAGTTTGGTTGGCACCCTGGTTGATCTGGAAGTACGTTACCAGTTATTTGGGGCCTTCAGGGGCGAAAATGGGCCGAAAAATGGGCCGAAAAGGGGCATTTTCGGGTGTTTTCAAATTTGAGATTTCAAAGCCAGATTTTCGGCTTTAGTTGGCTGGGACATGCCCAAATTGGTGTGGGTGAGTTGCATAGAGGTAGTACAAGTGTGATCCGTTGCAGAAATCCGGGTTCCCAAGATTCAAAATGACTTGAAAAGATTTTGTAAAAAATTGGAGACATTTTGGAATCCATGGGAATTTTTTGGAGACATCCATATTTCGCCCTAAAACGTCTCCAATGAGTTTGGTTGGCACCCTGGTTGATCTGGAAGTACGTTACCAGTTATTTGGGGCCTTCAGGGGCGAAAATGGGCCGAAAAATGGGCCGAAAAGGGGCATTTTCGGGTGTTTTCAAATTTTAGATTTCAAAGCCAGATTTTCGGCTTAGTTGGCTGGGACATGCCCAAATTGGTGTGGGTGAGTTGCATAGAGGTAGTACAAGTGTGATCCGTTGCAAAAATCCGGGTTCCCAAGGTTCAAAATGACTTGAAAAGATTTTGTAAAAAATTGGAGACATTTTGGAATCCATGGGAATTTTTAAATGCCCCTTTTCGGCCCATTTTTCGGCCCATTTTCGCCCCTGAAGGCCCCAAATAACTGGTAACGTACTTCCAGATCAACCAGGGTGCTAACCAAACTCATTGGAGACGTTTTAGGGCGAAATATGGATGTCTCCAAAAATTCCCATGGATTCCAAAATGTCTCCAATTTTTTACAAAATCTTTTCAATTCATTTTGAATCTTGGGAACCCGGATTTCTGCAACGGATCACACTTGTACTACCTCTATGCAACTCACCCACACCAATTTGGGCATGTCCCAGCCAGCTAAAGCCGAAAATCTGGCTTTGAAATCTCAAATTTGAAAACACCCGTAAATGCCCCTTTTCGGCCCATTTTTCGGCCCATTTTCGCCCCTGAAGGCCCCAAATAACTGGTAACGTACTTCCAGATCAACCAGGGTGCTAACCAAACTCATTGGAGACGTTTTAGGGCGAAATATGGATGTCTCCAAAAATTCCCATGGATTCCAAAATGTCTCCAATTTTTTACAAAATCTTTTCAAGTCATTTTGAATCTTGGGAACCCGGATTTCTGCAACGGATCACACTTGTACTACCTCTATGCAACTCACCCACACCAATTTGGGCATGTTTCAGCCAACTAAAGCCGAAAATCTTGCTTTGAAATCTCAAATTTGAAAACACCCGAAAATGCCCCTTTTCGGCCAATTTTTCGGCCCATTTTCCCCCCTGAAGGCCCCAAATAACTGGTAACGTACTTCCAGATCAACCAGGGTGCCAATCAAACTCATTGGAGACGTTTTAGGGCGAAATATGGATGTCTCCAAAAAATTCCCATGGATTCCAAAATGTCTCCAATTTTTTACAAAATCTTTTCAATTCATTTTGAATCTTGGGAACCCGGATTTCTGCAACGGATCACACTTGTACTACCTCTATGCAACTCACCCACACCAATTTGGGCATGTCCCAGCCAACAAAAGCCGAAAATCTGGCTTTGAAATCTCAAATTTGAAAACACTTGAAAATGCCCCTTTTCGGCCCATTTTTCGGCCCATTTTCCCCCCTGAAGGCCCCAAATAACTGGTAACGTACTTCCAGATCAACCAGGGTGCCAATCAAACTCATTGGAGACGTTTTAGGGCGAAATATGGATGTCTCCAAAAAATTCCCATGGATTCCAAAATGTCTCCAATTTTTTACAAAATCTTTTCAATTCATTTTGAATCTTGGGACCCCGGATTTCTGCAACGGATCACACTTGTACTACCTCTATGCAACTCACCCACACCAATTTGGGCATGTCCCAGCCAACAAAAGCCGAAAATCTGGCTTTGAAATCTCGAATTTGAAAACACTTGAAAATGCCCCTTTTCGGCCCATTTTTCGGCCCATTTTCCCCCCTGAAGGCCCCAAATAACTGGTAACGTACTTCCAGATCAACCAGGGTGCCAATCAAACTCATTGGAGACGTTTTAGGGCGAAATATGGATGTCTCCAAAAAATTCCCATGGATTCCAAAATGTCTCCAATTTTTTACAAAATCTTTTCAAGTCATTTTGAATCTTGGGAACCCGGATTTCTGCAACGGATCACACTTGTACTACCTCTATGCAACTCACCCACACCAATTTGGGCATGTCCCAGCCAACTGAAGCCGAAAATCTTGCTTTGAAATCTCAAATTTGAAAACACCCGTAAATGCCCCTTTTCGGCCCATTTTTCGGCCCATTTTCGCCCCTGAAGGCCCCAAATAACTGGTAACGTACTTCCAGATCAACCAGGGTGCTAACCAAACTCATTGGAGACGTTTTAGGGCGAAATATGGATGTCTCCAAAAAATTCCCATGGATTCCAAAATGTCTCCAATTTTTTACAAAATCTTTTCAATTCATTTTGAATCTTGGGAACCCGGATTTCCTGCAACGGATCACACTTGTACTACCTCTATGCAACTCACCCACACCAATTTGGGCATGTCCCAGCCAACAAAAGCCGAAAATCTGGCTTTGAAATCTCAAATTTGAAAACACTTGAAAATGCCCCTTTTCGGCCCATTTTTCGGCCCATTTTCCCCCCTGAAGGCCCCAAATAACTGGTAACGTACTTCCAGATCAACCAGGGTGCCAATCAAACTCATTGGAGACGTTTTAGGGCGAAATATGGATGTCTCCAAAAAATTCCCATGGATTCCAAAATGTCTCCAATTTTTTACAAAATCTTTTCAATTCATTTTGAATCTTGGGAACCCGGATTTCTGCAACGGATCACACTTGTACTACCTCTATGCAACTCACCCACACCAATTTGGGCATGTCCCAGCCAACAAAAGCCGAAAATCTGGCTTTGAAATCTCAAATTTGAAAACACTTGAAAATGCCCCTTTTCGGCCCATTTTTCGGCCCATTTTCCCCCCTGAAGGCCCCAAATAACTGGTAACGTACTTCCAGATCAACCAGGGTGCCAATCAAACTCATTGGAGACGTTTTAGGGCGAAATATGGATGTCTCCAAAAAATTCCCATGGATTCCAAAATGTCTCCAATTTTTTACAAAATCTTTTCAAGTCATTTTGAATCTTGGGAACCCGGATTTCTGCAACGGATCACACTTGTACTACCTCTATGCAACTCACCCACACCAATTTGGGCATGTCCCAGCCAACTGAAGCCGAAAATCTGGCTTTGAAATCTCAAATTTGAAAACACCCGTAAATGCCCCCTTTTCGGCCCATTTTTCGGCCCATTTTCGCCCCTGAAGGCCCCAAATAACTGGTAACGTACTTCCAGATCAACCAGGGTGCTAACCAAACTCATTGGAGACGTTTTAGGGCGAAATATGGATGTCTCCAAAAAATTCCCATGGATTCCAAAATGTCTCCAATTTTTTACAAAATCTTTTCAATTCATTTTGAATCTTGGGAACCCGGATTTCTGCAACGGATCACACTTGTACTACCTCTATGCAACTCACCCACACCAATTTGGGCATGTCCCAGCCAACAAAAGCCGAAAATCTGGCTTTGAAATCTCAAATTTGAAAACACTTGAAAATGCCCCTTTTCGGCCCATTTTTCGGCCCATTTTCCCCCCTGAAGGCCCCAAATAACTGGTAACGTACTTCCAGATCAACCAGGGTGCCAATCAAACTCATTGGAGACGTTTTAGGGCGAAATATGGATGTCTCCAAAAAATTCCCATGGATTCCAAAATGTCTCCAATTTTTTACAAAATCTTTTCAATTCATTTTGAATCTTGGGAACCCGGATTTCTGCAACGGATCACACTTGTACTACCTCTATGCAACTCACCCACACCAATTTGGGCATGTCCCAGCCAACAAAAGCCGAAAATCTGGCTTTGAAATCTCAAATTTGAAAACACTTGAAAATGCCCCTTTTCGGCCCATTTTTCGGCCCATTTTCCCCCCTGAAGGCCCCAAATAACTGGTAACGTACTTCCAGATCAACCAGGGTGCCAATCAAACTCATTGGAGACGTTTTAGGGCGAAATATGGATGTCTCCAAAAAATTCCCATGGATTCCAAAATGTCTCCAATTTTTTACAAAATCTTTTCAAGTCATTTTGAATCTTGGGAACCCGGATTTCTGCAACGGATCACACTTGTACTACCTCTATGCAACTCACCCACACCAATTTGGGCATGTCCCAGCCAACTGAAGCCGAAAATCTTGCTTTGAAATCTCAAATTTGAAACACCCGTAAATGCCCCTTTTCGGCCCATTTTTCGGCCCATTTTCGCCCCTGAAGGCCCCAAATAACTGGTAACGTACTTCCAGATCAACCAGGGTGCTAACCAAACTCATTGGAGACGTTTTAGGGCGAAATATGGATGTCTCCAAAAAATTCCCATGGATTCCAAAATGTCTCCAATTTTTTACAAAATCTTTTCAATTCATTTGAATCTTGGGAACCCGGATTTCTGCAACGGATCACACTTGTACTACCTCTATGCAACTCACCCACACCAATTTGGGCATGTCCCAGCCAACGAAAGCCGAAAATCTGGCTTTGAAATCTCAAATTTGAAAACACCCGAAAATTCCCCTTTTCGGCCCATTTTTCGGCCCATTTTCCCCCCTGAAGGCCCCAAATAACTGGTAACGTACTTCCAGATCAACCAGGGTGCCAATCAAACTCATTGGAGACGTTTTAGGGCGAAATATGGATGTCTCCAAAAAATTCCCATGGATTCCAAAATGTCTCCAATTTTTTACAAAATCTTTTCAAGTCATTTTGAATCTTGGGAACCCGGATTTCTGCAACGGATCACACTTGTACTACCTCTATGCAACTCACCCACACCAATTTGGGCATGTCCCAGCCAACTAAAGCCGAAAATCTGGCTTTGAAATCTCAAATTTGAAAACACCCGTAAATGCCCCTTTTCGGCCCATTTTTCGGCCCATTTTCGCCCCTGGAGGCCCCAAATAACTGGTAACGTACTTCCAGATCAACCAGGGTGCTAACCAAACTCATTGGAGACGTTTTAGGGCGAAATATGGATGTCTCCAAAAAATTCCCATGGATTCCAAAATGTCTCCAATTTTTTACAAAATCTTTTCAAGTCATTTTGAATCTTGGGAACCCGGATTTCTGCAACGGATCACACTTGTACTACCTCTATGCAACTCACCCACACCAATTTGGGCATGTCCCAGCCAACGAAAGCCGAAAATCTGGCTTTGAAATCTCAAATTTGAAAACACCCGAAAATTCCCCTTTTCGGCCCATTTTTCGGCCCATTTTCCCCCCTGAAGGCCCCAAATAACTGGTAACGTACTTCCAGATCAACCAGGGTGCCAATCAAACTCATTGGAGACGTTTTAGGGCGAAATATGGATGTCTCCAAAAAATTCCCATGGATTCCAAAATGTCTCCAATTTTTTACAAAATCTTTTCAAGTCATTTTGAATCTTGGGAACCCGGATTTCTGCAACGGATCACACTTACATACTACCTCTATGCAACTCACCCACACCAATTTGGGCATGTCCCAGCCAACTAAAGCCGAAAATCTGGCTTTGAAATCTCAAATTTGAAAACACCCGTAAATGCCCCTTTTCGGCCCATTTTTCGGCCCATTTTCGCCCCTGAAGGCCCCAAATAACTGGTAACGTACTTCCAGATCAACCAGGGTGCTAACCAAACTCATTGGAGACGGTTTAGGGCGAAATATGGATGTCTCCAAAAAATTCCCATGGATTCCAAAATGTCTCCAATTTTTTACAAAATCTTTTCAAGTCATTTTGAATCTTGGGAACCCGGATTTCTGCAACGGATCACACTTGTACTACCTCTATGCAACTCACCCACACCAATTTGGGCATGTCCCAGCCAACTAAAGCCGAAAATCTTGCTTTGAAATCTCAAATTTGAAAACACCCGAAAATGCCCCTTTTCGGCCAATTTTTCGGCCCATTTTCCCCCCTGAAGGCCCCAAATAACTGGTAACGTACTTCCAGATCAACCAGGGTGCCAATCAAACTCATTGGAGACGTTTTAGGGCGAAATATGGATGTCTCCAAAAAATTCCCATGGATTCCAAAATGTCTCCAATTTTTTACAAAATCTTTTCAATTCATTTTGAATCTTGGGAACCCGGATTTCTGCAACGGATCACACTTGTACTACCTCTATGCAACTCACCCACACCAATTTGGGCATGTCCCAGCCAACGAAAGCCGAAAATCTGGCTTTGAAATCTCAAATTTGAAAACACTTGAAAATGCCCCTTTTCGGCCCATTTTTCGGCCCATTTTCCCCCCTGAAGGCCCCAAATAACTGGTAACGTACTTCCAGATCAACCAGGGTGCCAATCAAACTCATTGGAGACGTTTTAGGGCGAAATATGGATGTCTCCAAAAAATTCCCATGGATTCCAAAATGTCTCCAATTTTTTACAAAATCTTTTCAAGTCATTTTGAATCTTGGGAACCCGGATTTCTGCAACGGATCACACTTGTACTACCTCTATGCAACTCACCCACACCAATTTGGGCATGTCCCAGCCAACTAAAGCCGAAAATCTTGCTTTGAAATCTCAAATTTGAAAACACCCGAAAATGCTCCTTTTCGGCCCATTTTTCCGCCCATTTTCCTCCCTGAAGGCCCCAAATACTTCCAGATCTACCAGGGTGTCAACTGTAAATGCCCTCCCTGGTCTATTAGGACAGTTAAAATTTATTCTTATCTTGGAATTCCGGTTCCCAACGATGTTTTTCGATGAATTTCAGAATTTAAATTTTTGGCTTATTTTATCTTCACCATCCTTTTTCACCGGTTCAAAAAACTTTCCTGTCATATTAGAACTGATAACTTGTAAGATAGATCAGTTTTAGGCTGTTTTGGTCGAAATCTGAAATTGAGAAAATGTCTCCATTTTGAGGAATCATTATATGCATTCACGTCACGCACATGTCAAAAGTTCATAAAAAGTATATTTTTTCATCAACTACTATGACATAAATTCAGCTGCGCGCGCCAATTCAATTTATATTAGACATTTTGAAAAAACGTTTAAGCACCTTTAGGCTTTAAACCTAACCTACTCTCGGCAGAAAGAACAGTGGTATTGAAGGCTTTGCGTGACATGAAAGAAAAGGGACTGTTAGCCAAACCAAGCTCTGTTTATCAGAATCATCTTGCAGTTTTGCCTGAGGACAAAGTCTCCGTCTCCTACGAGGTTAGTCGATAGTCATGAATTGTTCTACATAGTTGATTGTGCCATCCATAGCGAACTAACTAATTAATGAAATTTAGGTCCAGGAAAGGTAATATTTGAAAATGTATTAATGACAACCGGTAGTACATTTTCAGGATTTTTCATTTCTAGATGATTTCTGTGGCATTTTGACTTTCAGTATCTCCATCCGCCATCGTGTCTTTTGCCATCCACAGCGAACTCATTTATTGGTCACTGCACAAAAATTTCATCCAAACAGCAAAATTTCAGTCCTGGCAAGCTCATGTTTGACGCGTTAGAATGTAGAAGTGATATTAATCCATACATTTTAACCAGAGAAAGTGGAACCAAGTCAAGTCAATCGAAGATTCGGGAGAAAGACTTATACCAGACCCAGCACCAATAGAAGTGCCCAAACCCCCACCCGTAGCAAGGACCCCTACTATTGGCACACAGACTCCTGGTTCGTTTTTGAAAATGCATTCCTAACCTGATTTATTGCTGTGCTCAATCCCGGTTACGTTTATCTGTCATCTCAATTCTCATCAACTTTATCCATCAGTATCAGTTCTGAGCAAACCGAAGAAACAAGTTGGAGAAAGACCACCGACCAGAATTCAGATGTCTGGTCTCAGTAGGCCGACCAGTCAGATGGCACAAAGTCCCCTTGGACGACCTTCTACCATGAGAAGTGTCCGAGAAAAATTTGTAAGTTCTATTTATTCGATGGCCATCAGTTAACAATGAAACTTAAAAAAGATTATTAAATCAGAATTTTTTATAGAGACTAATAATTCGAGTCTTCAGTATCACATCAATGGTTTCGTTGAACGATATTGAATCGTGAGTAAGCCTATGTAAGTTTAATGTGGTAACAGTGAAATACATTCGTAACGTGAAGCATAAGCATTTGAATTTAAGTTATTTCACCGATTTATATTTTAAACTCCGAATGTTTCTCTCCTGAGTCCTGATGAAATAGAATTTTCACTCGTTTATGTTTAGTTGTCCTCGCAGATGAGTGGACGAAGTACAGCGACCCCGGCAAAGGATCCCGGATTCTCCTGGACTGTTAAACACCGTGACAGTGTGGCCCATGACGTCATTTCTAAAGCATGACGTCATTTCTAAAGCATGACGTCACTTGATGGCGTCACTTCTAAGGCTTAAAACTTCTCTTGGGCGGGACCACCATTTTACCATTTAGTTGAAAACATTTTAAGTTATGTACTTGTAGTCTTAGCTGTACAGAAATCGATTTTGTGCTGAAAGAACTCCGTCCGCAGGACGGACTTTCCCCGCTACTTATGATAATTCGAATAAATTTGAGATTCAAACAAGCTACGAATACGGAATGCATTAGCAGTGGCAAACACTGGTTTGCTGCGCTTGGCCAATTGTAATAACCGCAGTCTGAACTGGTCCCAAAATATTTGAATATGCTTACCTAGTGGCTTTTGTTTTGATAAAGCATACCCTACTTTAATACCATAAATCTCTAACTCCTTTGTCTTCGTTTGATAATTGGTGCCGGCCACACATCTCTGCAATGTCCCTACAAGGTGGCAGGGAAGTATTGAAACATACTTAACATAATATTTACAGATAAACCTTGAACTACAAAAAACTAGTGCAGTAGGAAACGCCAAAAAGTATATCATCTGACTAAAACAACTAAAAACTTCATCCAAGAGTCTAGTACAGCAGTGTATCGATAAGATACCACCATAGTTTGAGCTTTCCGACACTGAAATAAAACAAACAATTTACTTTTCACTACTGCAGGGGAATGCATGTAACATATAAGAATAATAGATATAAAATATTGTAAATGTTTTTACATCGTGGCCTCAGGGAGAAGGCAGCTCGAAAAACCGGAAAAAAAAGTCAAAAAACCGTGTTGGAGCAGTGAGTTAAAGCTACCGAATCTCGATCGAGAAGTCATATGAATCAGATCGCATTAAACGTGAGTTTCGCCCGCCAGAAGAAGGCAAACATGAATCATTTGCTGTGAACAGTCTCGACCAAGATGTAAAATACAGATACCACCCCAATTGTTTATTTTTAAGGCCGATTCACATCGACCCAAGTCTCTGCTTGACCCTAATTGCTCAAACTTCGTTATTAGATTGAGAAAATCGTGTTATGCCCCTCGTGTTACTAAAACTGTTTGTTATGTGAGAGAGGAACCAATCCGATTTCCCGATCAAGGATCACACCAATGAGGGTTGTTGTCATTTAACTTGACTAAATTTCAATGCCCATTATTTGATCATAGGGACAACATTACTCGTGACGTGCCAAATGTATCTTTTGTCTTTTAATAGGTCAGCTCAGAGCTTTACAAAGCAGACTTCTCCGTACAAAGACGGCCGACAATATTCTTTATCCAGAAAAGTCAGAACTCTTTCCACACACATTCTTAAATTAACACGACGCAAACGACGATGTAGCCCACGCCGCTGTAAACTTTAAAAAAAATTCCTGACCCGGAACGAGCCCAGCAACTGTATACAGCTGCGTGATCTATGTACGGTTAGCAGATTTAAGAGCTTAATGCAATAACAGTCACCGTTTCACTCTCATGTTTGACTTTTCTTCTTTTTGAACAATAAATGTCCATTGCAGGATGCCAAGCTATAAACGAAATAAGATTAAAAGTACCGTGATTTACACTGCTGGCTCATAACAAGGAACTTGTTTGGATTCGTGAAATTTGGAGACCTGCAGCTGTAATCAAACTCTCACTACCAATTGTGCGAGGCCGAGGTTTCCCGTATTGACCACATTACAAGTGGAACCACCCAAGGCCGGATGATTCACGCGCTAGTTGACCATGATATCTGATTCTCACCGTGAAAATTTGGCCGAGATGACCGTGTCCCTGTCAGAGGTAACGATACAAGGATACAAAAAAAATAAATATTTTATTGTACAATTACAATATTCGTAAAAACTTACAAATACGCCTACCATCACGGACCCCCGTCAACGACAATAAAAATGTGTTCACAGCATTTAGATTATCGTAGACAACACCATAGAATGACAAGCTAAGCGTACAGACAAACTTTCCAACTCCTGACTATATAAAACTCCCGGTATAAAGCGGTTTTGACGGAGCACTTTAATGCCTGGAGTATGAAACTCTTATTGACCGGAAAAAATTTTTTTTGTAATCCGAACGCGGACAGATACATATGAGAGCCATCATAAGATGGTACAAAATAATCTCCCTGTGAAAAGTCCTTTTTACTTTTTTAAGCGTCAAAATCGGTGCACTTCCTTATCCATCGAAAAAAGCATCCACTGGTGGCTACGTAAAGTATCCGATTTATCTTTCAAGTATCCAACTTCCCTGTGCTCTCTGGCAATTCTAAGAATAAAACATTATATATACGACACCTAACAAATTATCATTAATAAAAACAAACTTACATAGTTAAAAGAACTCCATTAAAAAACATCTTAACTACGTAATCCGTCCTAGTCCCACAGCTTTTTTCCAACACTCCAACAGCTAGCAATAACCCTTATTTCATTTAAATCAACACAAAATTCTAATTCCTAAGATTCTATCTAAAGGTCACAACAGCATATTTGAATATAAGATTGTATAGGTCTACCAACACGCCCTTTAAATTTACCACTACTAGTTAACACAAATTACTCTTTGTAAGAAAAAGTTTAAAGAAGCTTTACAACTTACCCTCAAACTAAAGCTTCTGTCTGTCTGCTGCATTTGAGTTTATTTCTAAATGAATTCGAGCATTTCGGTAGCTCCCAAGTTCAAGCAGCCCACCATGCAGAACAAATTTGTTCACAATAACTTTGTTTCCCATAAATATTATTGTTACCATAAATAAAAGTCACAAAAGATATGTTTAATATACCAAGTCCACAACAATATAAGTCGTAACCCTTAGTTTCCCAAAAATTTGTGTGCCCTTATATTGAGCACAATTTATTTTGAGCCCCCAAACATTTGGGCAGAAAATTTGAACTCATTGGGCGACCGAAAATTAGGGCACAAATTCTTCGAAAAATGAACGATTTTTTCCACTACAATTTAAGTTAGATATTTGCCTAGTTCATTATTATTCCATATTTATCCAGTCATTTTGCTTGCAATTTTTTGTTATTCCAGTTATTTCATTCAATTAAAATAAAATCCTTTATTAACTTGGTCCAAGCCATGAATGACAGATTAGAAAACCTAAAATTTCAAATATTATTTCCACTTGGATATGAAGAAAAGAAGCCATCTTTCTATAGATTTCAGGGGCCACAATAGGCCCAAATGCCAAAAGTTTGGTTACAAAAAATTTTAGCAGACGGAAAAGATTTCTGCAAGTTAATTTGGTCTGCAAAAACTTTGGGCGAAGAGGCCGCCCGCTCAATTTTTTGTCACGCCCCAATTATAGTGAATTAAGTATTTTTAAGAACCAATTTTTCCATATCATTTAAATTTTTTTTAAATTTATTTCAGCTAGCTTTTTTGACTAAAAAATTTTCATCTGGGGAAATTTTAATTAAGAACGAGTCTACAGTACATACATCAATACATAGCATCACATACATTTACCTATAACACGCAGTAGCGACTTGTTATAAATTTAACGATAACTTAAATTCGTTAATCTCATATATCATTTTAATTATGCTCAGCTGAAATCATAGTCTCCTTTAAAAATAAGTTCCTCCATAAATTTAGTTTACAACCAATTTTAGCAATTGTTTTGAAGCATAATTTATTGGTCTAATAGATTTTTTCGTTCCTGAGGAAAGGGAAGTTCGCGAATATAGTAACACCAGAAAATATTGGTTTATGTAAATTGATTTACGTTGTTTTATCAATGATTCGAGGGCAATGCAACGAGAATCGAACAAATTTTTTTATCAAAATTACTGCCTAACATTTAATGACCAAACCTAACGAGCTTAACCTCAGTCACTCTTTTTCGGAGATTCTAAATATCATTTGACACCACTCTATGGATTAACTGATAGATTTTTAAAATATGAAACTAACCGGGTTGTATCCTAGCAGAACTGAATAATTATAATACTTACGAACATTGTCAGCTGGATATTCAAGTAATCATTTGTGTGCATTCTTTACAACAGAAACAAGGAATTTGAAATATCATTTGTAAACTCAAACTGAACAGGTAATCCAAACAGAACATTGTGCTCACAGTTCCACACCATTCCTGAAAAAAGCCATTCTTCCAAAAGACAACAAAATAAAGTAAAAGATTGCTCTAACCGAGTTCCAAATGGTGTCAACAACGTAGCCCCAAAAGCATCAACATTAAGAGTCAACCTGTTACGTGTACTAACGACTGAACAAGACTATTTCTCCTAAAAGTTCCCTACGTTTCAAATTAAAAGTAAAAACTGAGAGAAGCTTTTAGTTTACTGTGGACCCTTTGTTTGGAATCAGCTACCTTAGCAAAATTGAGAACATTAACCGAACGCTTGTTTATAAAAGAGAATCTATACGCAATCTCTTTGAAAAAGCATTCCTATAATAGCATATCATAACATTATCATAAACCCAAACTTCATAAAAAATAAGTTCTAATGTACATATTCAATATTCATGAGCCCCGCTTTAGAAATGGCATGAACTGAAAAAACTTTACTTATGCTGTCATTAGTTCAGTGCTCAGTTCACAAGACATGTCAATATAATTATCCCTGTTTGATAATATTCCTTTCAAGTCAATATATCATAGTTTATTGAATCCTCTATATATCCTAATTTAGGACTATGATTTGACCTGCCCAACCCCTAATTTTGGAATTTATAAGCTCCTATCGAGAAAATGAGGTTAATTTGAATGGAAGTCTTTCATGTTATTCTTATTCTCACGTCATCTACAACAATTAACAGGTCCAGTATATCCATAATTAAGACACCAATAGAATAATACTGTGATTTGTTTAGAGAATAAAATTTAGGGTCGAAAATTTTGATCCTTACTAAGTCATCCACCCATACTCCCAATTCACCACATGGTCTCAACCCCCCGTGCCCGCCTCTGGCCCCTCGAGATAGGCAAGTGGCTTTATTTACATTAAATCCATAACACCTGATCTTGAGTTAATCACAAGGCGAGGAACACATCCTACCCTGGCCACATCTGGGAGGTCTACACGGAAACAGGAGCTCATTTAGCTCTAGGTCACCAGGCTGTGACCTAGTCTAGATGTTCCATTGTCCAACCATTTTCTGCGATGTAACAGGT